AGATGAGAGTTTGCATGATTTAACAAAAAGCACTCTTCCTCATTTCGCAAAAGAAAAAATAATAATAAACAGATCACCTACAGAAAAAATTGGATTCTGTTTTTATCCCCGAGTGAAAAGATCTAACATTTTAATTTCAATCGAGACAATTACAGATTCATGTGATTATTCAGCCTTTAAGGAAAATAATCACCCATATTTACATTGCAGCTTATTTAGTTGTGTCTATCTGTTCTGTTGACGAAATTATCGAGATATATTACACTTGCCCAAGGGCATGTTTCAAGGCCATCAAAGGTTCTATCTTTTAAGTGTATAAATTGCAATTTTGGTAACAGAGAGAATATTACACCATCGTCAATTTTCGTTTTTCTGCCTTTCTCGTCAAACCGAAAAAGGCGCGCGCCGTATCGCAGACTTTTCCCCGTTTCATTATGCAGTTGCGTCTGTGAATTACTCATTCAAGCATTTTTTAAGCAGATGACCTTGGATTTAAGTTTTGAAGCTTTCTCGGAAGTGGTTTCGAAACAAACCTCTTTGGGTTAAGTGCTAAAGTGGCCTGGTTATCCATGTATATACTTTTTTAAAGGTTCTAAATGCCCTTCGTGTCCAGTTTGACTTATTTGTTTCGAAAACATGGCTTCACAAGCTTACAGTTTAAAACAAGACCACGCATATGTATTTATCTCGTGTTATATGTGATTTCTTCGCGAGATTAGTGGCGTCGATTTCATTCTCAATTGCGTCAGTGATTACTGATTTGAAAGGACTAGATGTAAGGTCAATAACTTGCTAGCGAACAAATTCACAAAACTGGGAATCGGGCATGTTAGACTTTATACGTCGAAGGAATTAAGCTAGAATCTTCTCTTAAGTATGGCTATAAGTCGCGCGGATTTTGCGGTGCGGTAAAACAACTTTATACCCAGACAACGAGGTAAAATATGTACAATATGTTTGTCGTAGTTATTCTTCAGAAATTAGGCTTTTATACCGAGTTAACTACCTAGATATCTCGAGCAAACAACGTAAAAATACCACAAAAGAAAAATTCGAAGAGATGCATTGGTAAAGACTCATGAAATTACAGGCCTTTTGAAACGCTTCAAAAAATGATTAACGCACTTTATCAGTGTATTTACTGAAGGGTAAATCAACTGTCGAAAGTTTCTTTTTAAAATGTGAAATATAGCTGGCTCCTTCTTTACCCATGAAACGATTAAAAAGCAGCTCGAAATTTAATTCTAAATTTAACCAATTTAGAAAAATTGCTTTTCAAATCTCTTCTCCCATAATGATTAAAGAAGGTTTCAATCGAGTAATGTCGCTTTGAAGGTGTACAGATGACATTTATCTAAATATAAATCGTGTGAATGTGTAGGCTTTTATTTGATACAGCTACGGGCTAAAGCTAGAAAAAAATGACTTGAAACAGGCAAATAGGAGACACCAATTAAACATATCTCACCGAAAATTATACCCATCTCACTCCAAACTCATAAGATTATTACATGAAAAGTTGTTTCATTTGCTTCGCACTGTCGGTTAAATAAAAGATGTATTTTTATTTCTAAATTTGCTGAAGGACTAAGCGAAATAAAATTCAACTATCTTATGACCAAGACAAGTATAAAAAAAAGTAATGTTAATCATTAAAAATAAAATAAATGTAAATAGATGGTTCAATGACATACGTGGAAATTTCTGACTGTCGACAAATCAACACTAAGTTTCCCATCTCAAATAAAAAGCCGCTGCGTCTTCCAGTCTTCGAATTTTAGATGGTATAGTTGTTCACCGATTAAGACTTGCTTTCATTTTTAAAAGTTTTGTACTCCAGCATAGAGCAAACTGCAGACCACTGACTTAAATATCAGTCAGTCAAACAAGAACTGCAATACATGACTGACCGCGATTGACTTAACAACCTATTATCTCCACAGAGGATACAGACATGCGTAAGAGATCGAAAGAAACTCCGTTTTAAAAATACGACTCAAAGAGAATCTTTAATAAGGAAATATTTATAAGCGAATGTCAATTTGCCTCATATTTGTTTCAGTATCGGTACACATATCTTTTTCAACGATATGAGTAGTGCTCCGATCATCAGTTTATCAGTAACAAATAGTAAACAAGTTATCTAGAAGGACCGTTAAGAAATGAAGAAATATCGGCGCTATAGTCTTGTCAAACCATATTTCATTTTCACTTAAGGTAGCAGCCCGATTTATTTCAGCCCGAAGCAATTAAAATTTAAAAAAAGGATGCATTACTGAGAAAAATCTTAATTTGTCTTCACCAGATTTAAATGTATGGCGAGTGATTGATTTGATAAAAGAAAAAATCAATCAAAAGTCAGTATCAATTCGAGTACGCCATGACAGCTATGCTCATTTTAAGTCTAGCGAGAGATGGACTGGTAAAGCTTAGTAAATAGAGCGGACAGAACGACACCTAGGTGAAGTCTAACGAACCCAAAAGACTGTGTTTGTTTAGTTGTTCACCAAGGCTTCTTAAACAAACCAAGCGTAATTTTGCATACATTTTCATTTATCTGACTCTTAGAACTCAAATAAATTGAAAACTGAGATGGTTTTCTTCAAGTCCCTGGTTGTTATGGCGAGAACAGGTCACGCATGGAAGGAAGTCCAAAATTGTTTTATGCAATCATGCATAGATGCGCAGATGGGAATTAAGCCGTGAACAGCTCATTTCATACGTGTCTTCTTGTTTCTCTCCTTTGTATTTCATTTCAATGGCAATCTAGTGGGTTGATGAGCGAAACGTTTGTGAAGCGCGTACAGCAACACGAGTAACAGTCTCAATTTCCTTTCGCTCTTCATCAATGACAGGAAATGAGGGATGAACTTCAACAAAAAACTCTCACATCCTTCAGCGAAGTCAGGGGAAATTTCAATATAGACATGCATATTCCAATGTTACATTCACGCTTCTTAATCTAACCATAAAACAAAGAACGGGAAAGGTCTTACAATAGACGCGATTAAACTTTAGAATGATGTTCTACGCCCAGGCCGCAAACAATCTCCGTGGACAAAGAAAGCCCTTTGAAGGGCAAATAAGTTTTTCGACCGTGATGAATGCCTTTCTTGCAAAAACCTCTCGAAACTATTTATTTTTGTTTGCTCTGAGAAATACCGCTCTCTTTTCAATAAATTTTTAAAGAATAGGGCGAGCTATTATTAAAATTGGGTTCGAATAATTATTTTTTGCATCCGCCTGAAACATTTCACTTTTTCTAAAAGAAAACACACACAGAATTGTAAAGGCTTAATTAGTCAGGTCGTTATCAATGGTCTGTACTGTTAAACGGAGCAAAGATATACAATGATAACAAACCAATTCATTTTACAAGCAAACAAGCATAGGTAAACGGCGAGAAAAAAGATCTTTCGGTGTGTTCAGAATTCTATTTTTGTGGCTGGCAATTTTTTCTCCAACACAAAAGCGCGCGCAATTGTTTTTTCGATCTAATTACCAGGCCTAAAGCTTCAGATTTTTCGTTGCGGGTCGCGTTTGGAATATCACTCTTTCAAGTTCCGGCTCGTTTGCAGATCTCATTTTCGATAAGATTGCCTAAAATTGAAAATAATTCCTAGCCTCTCAAGATTGATAGCACCGACTGATAGAAAGGTCATTAGAATAATAAGATCCAAAACAACTCTTTTAAACATGTCACATTTGCGACTTTTTTGAACAGCGCGCTGTCGAAATGTTTAGTTCTGCGGGGGTACATTTTAAATAGCTCTCTTAGAAATTGTGGGGAAAAAAACGCTTAAATGCGACACTGTTTTTTTTTAAAGATCTGGGTACAATTTTAATTCGAAATCTGTTTCACACAGACGATGCTATTTAGATGATTCATTCGAGCTTTTTTCATGGTAATACTCTCAACGGAACCCTTCTAACAACAAGCTTTCAGGAGTTTTCATTCAGGAATTACCATGATAACGACTGATCTATTGTCCGCAAACAAAAGATTACTAAACGAAAGGAAGTGGGGTCTTTCATAAAGGGCACTTATGTTTTACTGCCATTCACTGCCTAGAGCGATTAATCAGCCAGCTTTATAGGCAAGGAATTGAAAATGCAAACGAACCTTCATCTCGCGATAAGTAATGAAAAAGTAAAACCAAACTCCTCCGACCAAACCATAATTGAATAAATTGTGAAAAAAAACTTCAATAAACTCACCACTTATATTAAATATCGATGTACAAAAACTGGGAGAAACGATACGCTGCTTTAGGCAAATTCGCGCGAGCGAACGCAGAATTGCTGCCGAGGGTCAAACGCTGGAAAAGAAAAAAAGGTTCTGTTGTATATTACTGAAATATCTCGTCATTGCAGTTAGCAATTTCACGGCGAGACAAAAGCTTTCATAAGCGAAAAGTATTCTTATGCTAAACGGGCGAATAAAAGGCCCGATAATTGATCATTTGTAAGGCAATTCGTCGCAAGAAAATGACAGACCCACAGAAAGAGTCGGATATTTACTTTGGTTTACTTTCAATATAAATTAATAATTTCCCAGTGCAAGTTGAATATTAACGCAATGTTTGTGAAAACTTCTCGCCAGGAGCGATGGAAGTGCGGAATTGAACTTTCAAAAGAAAAACATACTCGCCATTGTTCTCGGCGGCTTGCCTCACAAGGGCCGCTGAAAGCATAAAGATAGCTGAATTTTGAGTGCATTGTCTCTGAACAATGGGAAAGCAATTGATGACTAGAAAACAAAAGTTCGCCCATTGTACTTTCGCCAAACCAAAATAGAAAATTATTTACAAAATCCAAATATCTCTTTGAAACGCCAATCAAGGTAATATCGCAAAACATTTCTAAGGAACCTCTTCAGGGAAATTTTCAAATATAACTTCCTTTATTTTAATTGGATAGCCTTTTCGTAAAATGACGTGGTCCGAATACTTTGTGAAAGCGAGAATGAAACTCAATTATTTCGCACGCATGCTCCGAGGTGCCAGCTTTGATCTTTACCGCGTGAAACAATCAGCGTTGAGTTCAGTTTCAACGAGCTATCGACGAGCACGGATCGTGTATTTACTCTTGACAACCTAGAAGTCTCTGGGAGCTTGAATATTCCGAACAGCGCGCGCTACGTAAAGATTCACTGACATGGCTAAACCAGTGGAACACGTCAAACGCCCCATGAACGCTTTTATGGTTTGGTCCCGAGAAGAGAGGCGAAAAATCGCCCAAGACAACCCGAAGATGCACAATTCTGAGATCAGCAAGAGGCTGGGAGCGGAATGGAAGCAGTTGACAGACGAGGAGAAAAAACCGTTCGTCGAGGAAGCGAAGCATCTGAGAGCGCAACACATGAAGGAGCATCCAGACTACAAGTACAGACCTCGGAGAAAACCCAAATCACTGCTCAAGAAAGTGGATCGCTATCCATTCCCTCTGCCGTGTTTACCAACTTCTGACGAATTGCTGAAGTGCAGTCCGCCTGGTATTCCGACAACGTCTTTCGTGACTGATCCTTACTCGACCACCGTGAACGGCAAGACGCGATCGTTCCTGCCCGTATCATCAGGGTACACTTACGACTCAAGTTCTGGGCACTCCATTACCACATCAAGATTTGACCGCGGACTAGAGATTCCAAGTGCTGTACGCCCCGATATGCTGACGGGTGGGCAAATGTACCCACATTCACTGTACCCAAGCGCTCCAACCACAAGTTCTCCGCTTCTGAACGCCTCTGGAATGCCCGTACTTCCTGGGAGCCAACTCAGCCCCCATTCCCATCTTCACGCCGTTCAAGGGGCTAACGGACAGTACACTGTCCCCTGTAACTGTACGTCGTGGCAAGGACAAGATGTTCGTAGGCCCGTGGCCTATCTACTCCTTTAGCTCAAGTAACTGACTCTTAAATCNGCTTTGAAGGTGTACAGATGACATTTATCTAAATATAAATCGTGTGAATGTGTAGGCTTTTATTTGATACAGCTACGGGCTAAAGCTAGAAAAAAATGACTTGAAACAGGCAAATAGGAGACACCAATTAAACATATCTCACCGAAAATTATACCCATCTCACTCCAAACTCATAAGATTATTACATGAAAAGTTGTTTCATTTGCTTCGCACTGTCGGTTAAATAAAAGATGTATTTTTATTTCTAAATTTGCTGAAGGACTAAGCGAAATAAAATTCAACTATCTTATGACCAAGACAAGTATAAAAAAAAGTAATGTTAATCATTAAAAATAAAATAAATGTAAATAGATGGTTCAATGACATACGTGGAAATTTCTGACTGTCGACAAATCAACACTAAGTTTCCCATCTCAAATAAAAAGCCGCTGCGTCTTCCAGTCTTCGAATTTTAGATGGTATAGTTGTTCACCGATTAAGACTTGCTTTCATTTTTAAAAGTTTTGTACTCCAGCATAGAGCAAACTGCAGACCACTGACTTAAATATCAGTCAGTCAAACAAGAACTGCAATACATGACTGACCGCGATTGACTTAACAACCTATTATCTCCACAGAGGATACAGACATGCGTAAGAGATCGAAAGAAACTCCGTTTTAAAAATACGACTCAAAGAGAATCTTTAATAAGGAAATATTTATAAGCGAATGTCAATTTGCCTCATATTTGTTTCAGTATCGGTACACATATCTTTTTCAACGATATGAGTAGTGCTCCGATCATCAGTTTATCAGTAACAAATAGTAAACAAGTTATCTAGAAGGACCGTTAAGAAATGAAGAAATATCGGCGCTATAGTCTTGTCAAACCATATTTCATTTTCACTTAAGGTAGCAGCCCGATTTATTTCAGCCCGAAGCAATTAAAATTTAAAAAAAGGATGCATTACTGAGAAAAATCTTAATTTGTCTTCACCAGATTTAAATGTATGGCGAGTGATTGATTTGATAAAAGAAAAAATCAATCAAAAGTCAGTATCAATTCGAGTACGCCATGACAGCTATGCTCATTTTAAGTCTAGCGAGAGATGGACTGGTAAAGCTTAGTAAATAGAGCGGACAGAACGACACCTAGGTGAAGTCTAACGAACCCAAAAGACTGTGTTTGTTTAGTTGTTCACCAAGGCTTCTTAAACAAACCAAGCGTAATTTTGCATACATTTTCATTTATCTGACTCTTAGAACTCAAATAAATTGAAAACTGAGATGGTTTTCTTCAAGTCCCTGGTTGTTATGGCGAGAACAGGTCACGCATGGAAGGAAGTCCAAAATTGTTTTATGCAATCATGCATAGATGCGCAGATGGGAATAAAGCCGTGAACAGCTCATTTCATACGTGTCTTCTTGTTTCTCTCCTTTGTATTTCATTTCAATGGCAATCTAGTGGGTTGATGAGCGAAACGTTTGTGAAGCGCGTACAGCAACACGAGTAACAGTCTCAATTTCCTTTCGCTCTTCATCAATGACAGGAAATGAGGGATGAACTTCAACAAAAAACTCTCACATCCTTCAGCGAAGTCAGGGGAAATTTCAATATAGACATGCATATTCCAATGTTACATTCACGCTTCTTAATCTAACCATAAAACAAAGAACGGGAAAGGTCTTACAATAGACGCGATTAAACTTTAGAATGATGTTCTACGCCCAGGCCGCAAACAATCTCCGTGGACAAAGAAAGCCCTTTGAAGGGCAAATAAGTTTTTCGACCGTGATGAATGCCTTTCTTGCAAAAACCTCTCGAAACTATTTATTTTTGTTTGCTCTGAGAAATACCGCTCTCTTTTCAATAAATTTTTAAAGAATAGGGCGAGCTATTATTAAAATTGGGTTCGAATAATTATTTTTTGCATCCGCCTGAAACATTTCACTTTTTCTAAAAGAAAACACACACAGAATTGTAAAGGCTTAATTAGTCAGGTCGTTATCAATGGTCTGTACTGTTAAACGGAGCAAAGATATACAATGATAACAAACCAATTCATTTTACAAGCAAACAAGCATAGGTAAACGGCGAGAAAAAAGATCTTTCGGTGTGTTCAGAATTCTATTTTTGTGGCTGGCAATTTTTTCTCCAACACAAAAGCGCGCGCAATTGTTTTTTCGATCTAATTACCAGGCCTAAAGCTTCAGATTTTTCGTTGCGGGTCGCGTTTGGAATATCACTCTTTCAAGTTCCGGCTCGTTTGCAGATCTCATTTTCGATAAGATTGCCTAAAATTGAAAATAATTCCTAGCCTCTCAAGATTGATAGCACCGACTGATAGAAAGGTCATTAGAATAATAAGATCCAAAACAACTCTTTTAAACATGTCACATTTGCGACTTTTTTGAACAGCGCGCTGTCGAAATGTTTAGTTCTGCGGGGGTACATTTTAAATAGCTCTCTTAGAAATTGTGGGGAAAAAAACGCTTAAATGCGACACTGTTTTTTTTTAAAGATCTGGGTACAATTTTAATTCGAAATCTGTTTCACACAGACGATGCTATTTAGATGATTCATTCGAGCTTTTTTCATGGTAATACTCTCAACGGAACCCTTCTAACAACAAGCTTTCAGGAGTTTTCATTCAGGAATTACCATGATAACGACTGATCTATTGTCCGCAAACAAAAGATTACTAAACGAAAGGAAGTGGGGTCTTTCATAAAGGGCACTTATGTTTTACTGCCATTCACTGCCTAGAGCGATTAATCAGCCAGCTTTATAGGCAAGGAATTGAAAATGCAAACGAACCTTCATCTCGCGATAAGTAATGAAAAAGTAAAACCAAACTCCTCCGACCAAACCATAATTGAATAAATTGTGAAAAAGAACTTCAATAAACTCACCACTTATATTAAATATCGATGTACAAAAACTGGGAGAAACGATACGCTGCTTTAGGCAAATTCGCGCGAGCGAACGCAGAATTGCTGCCGAGGGTCAAACGCTGGAAAAGAAAAAAAGGTTCTGTTGTATATTACTGAAATATCTCGTCATTGCAGTTAGCAATTTCACGGCGAGACAAAAGCTTTCATAAGCGAAAAGTATTCTTATGCTAAACGGGCGAATAAAAGGCCCGATAATTGATCATTTGTAAGGCAATTCGTCGCAAGAAAATGACAGACCCACAGAAAGAGTCGGATATTTACTTTGGTTTACTTTCAATATAAATTAATAATTTCCCAGTGCAAGTTGAATATTAACGCAATGTTTGTGAAAACTTCTCGCCAGGAGCGATGGAAGTGCGGAATTGAACTTTCAAAAGAAAAACATACTCGCCATTGTTCTCGGCGGCTTGCCTCACAAGGGCCGCTGAAAGCATAAAGATAGCTGAATTTTGAGTGCATTGTCTCTGAACAATGGGAAAGCAATTGATGACTAGAAAACAAAAGTTCGCCCATTGTACTTTCGCCAAACCAAAATAGAAAATTATTTACAAAATCCAAATATCTCTTTGAAACGCCAATCAAGGTAATATCGCAAAACATTTCTAAGGAACCTCTTCAGGGAAATTTTCAAATATAACTTCCTTTATTTTAATTGGATAGCCTTTTCGTAAAATGACGTGGTCCGAATACTTTGTGAAAGCGAGAATGAAACTCAATTATTTCGCACGCATGCTCCGAGGTGCCAGCTTTGATCTTTACCGCGTGAAACAATCAGCGTTGAGTTCAGTTTCAACGAGCTATCGACGAGCACGGATCGTGTATTTACTCTTGACAACCTAGAAGTCTCTGGGAGCTTGAATATTCCGAACAGCGCGCGCTACGTAAAGATTCACTGACATGGCTAAACCAGTGGAACACGTCAAACGCCCCATGAACGCTTTTATGGTTTGGTCCCGAGAAGAGAGGCGAAAAATCGCCCAAGACAACCCGAAGATGCACAATTCTGAGATCAGCAAGAGGCTGGGAGCGGAATGGAAGCAGTTGACAGACGAGGAGAAAAAACCGTTCGTCGAGGAAGCGAAGCATCTGAGAGCGCAACACATGAAGGAGCATCCAGACTACAAGTACAGACCTCGGAGAAAACCCAAATCACTGCTCAAGAAAGTGGATCGCTATCCATTCCCTCTGCCGTGTTTACCAACTTCTGACGAATTGCTGAAGTGCAGTCCGCCTGGTATTCCGACAACGTCTTTCGTGACTGATCCTTACTCGACCACCGTGAACGGCAAGACGCGATCGTTCCTGCCCGTATCATCAGGGTACACTTACGACTCAAGTTCTGGGCACTCCATTACCACATCAAGATTTGACCGCGGACTAGAGATTCCAAGTGCTGTACGCCCCGATATGCTGACGGGTGGGCAAATGTACCCACATTCACTGTACCCAAGCGCTCCAACCACAAGTTCTCCGCTTCTGAACGCCTCTGGAATGCCCGTACTTCCTGGGAGCCAACTCAGCCCCCATTCCCATCTTCACGCCGTTCAAGGGGCTAACGGACAGTACACTGTCCCCTGTAACTGTACGTCGTGGCAAGGACAAGATGTTCGTAGGCCCGTGGCCTATCTACTCCTTTAGCTCAAGTAACTGACTCTTAAATCTATTTATCACAATGAAACTATTTATGTATAATACAGCAACTAACTGGTGTAAATTATTCTTATCGAGCAAGCAAGAATTTTACTATCCCGTGCGAGTTTCAAGCGAGTTTTTTTTCTGGGTTCACTGATCGCCGACGAAAACATTTCACAGCGTGGAGATGTTGAGTAGTTCAGACGAACAAATTTCTGACCACATAAACCGTTGCTTGCTCGCGGCGCGTCAGAATTTGTATATTATAAGGCTAAATGTGTGAATATTTGAATATTGAAATAATTCTCAATCGACCTCATTTCAAGGGTTAGTTGCTTAAAGGACATTCTTCAATTTTCCGACTCGGTTCGCCAGTTCCAGAGCGATTCTAAATGGTCCGCTCGAGCGCTATTTACAAGAGCGAATTTCACTTGTAATTTAAATTTGACAAAACTAACCCAAAGTTTTCACCGATCTGTCACATTAAAATTAGCATTGAATGTAATTTGTTGTCAGCTTTTGTTGTCTCAGTTGGGTTTATTTGACACTAGCCTTCACGGTGAAGGACGAAAAAATACCGTTACCATCGTAAATTTTCCCTTGTCACTAGTTGGCAAGCCTTTCCTCCCGACTATACGTGGCTACTGCGTTCGTTTACATCCTTTGTGTTTAGGTGTAAACTATGTGTGTGTGGTTTGAAAGAGCAAATAGTTTTGGTGCTCAGTCAGAGGAAACAATCTACGGATAACAAGCATTTAAACGCGGCAACTAAGGGCTAAACACACAAAATTTGGCGAGAGAAAGTTTGCGTATGGGAAGCACACTTTCTTCGGGGTTTCCTTCGAGTTCAAAGAAGGTGAATTTGTATAATAATTACAGAAACCCTAAACAGATGGCGTCCCGCGAAGAAAATTATTTCCTTCAAATGCATCTTTGAACGGAAGCATCTGTAATCTTATTGCTGCTTAGAAAGCCTTACAAAAAACTCCCCCTTCCATCGATTTAGGTTGGCATCCCGTCGTTTCAGTGAAAAACACAGCTGTAAAAAACCGTGGACAGAACCTCCGCGGCAAGTCATTGTAAATCTTGCTTTCGCATATTGATAATTGTATAAAAGAAACAGAGAGACAAGGGTCGGGAATAACAACATAATAAAAAATACATGAGGAGTTGAATGAAAGAGATGACATAAATAAATAAATGGACGATCAAGACGAGATAAAATGAATAACAAAGGTGAGTGAATTACAATTGCCTTAATACTAATATCTCCATAACAATAGATTACATCCACAAAATACAATCAATGAATAGCGGCACAATGAGGGAATCGGTAAATAAGAGAAAAGCAGGAATGAATGGCACGGCTTTCGGAATAAGCGAGGCTGTGATGAAATGGCTCGAATGGGTATTACATGTTTGTAGACGCTTAAAGAACGCGGCAGGCCACACAATCAGTTCAAAGAGGCTACCGCTTAGAGCGCGCCTTAAACAAACACGGAAAGAAAGGGGGTCGAATAGGCCATAATCGAGCCTATTCTAATCGTCTTTTAAGCCATTGAAAAAGGGAATCGCGAGAAATATTTTGCGTTGATTCGCGAAAAACCTGAGCAAAAAAGGCCTCCAGTACAAAATCGCACGGATTACATTAGCGCGTGAAGGCAGATGGTGAGACAGCGACGGGTCTTTGTAAACTCGGTGCGACATTTATTGGGCTTAAAGAGGCTATGCAAGTGACAAAAATCAAAGCTTTCAATTATGGCCATTGTCTTTGTTTTATAAAACACAGGGATTGTTTGTAAAATGTGTTCGAAATGATCTGTTTGCCGATTTACGAGAGCGTTTGATTTCGGTGAGTTTCGTCGATTTTTCCCTTTTTGGGCGCGCGACTTTTTTTTTTTCTGATGGTTTCCGCGGGAAAACTTTCACGTTAAACGTTGGCTGTCGCGAACGTGACAACGCGGGAGCGTGTGGCGTTTTTCGTCAAACAAGTTTCCCTTATATATAGTAATAGCCCAGTCATTAGCTGTCAATGTGTCTTTTTCGGCACTTGAATTTAAGAAAACATAATCTTTAATCCCACGCTCGGAGGTGTGAGCCAGAGAAAGCGATATCCATAATCGATCAGTGTTGTTTGCCGAGCGATCTCAGTTCTTTGGTAAAAAACACTCCAGTTTTATCGCTCCTCTTAAGATAATCAACACCGACAAGAATTGTACCTCTGGGCAAGGAAATGGAAAATACAAATTTGCTTTACACCGACATTTGTCAGTAGAATTTTCCACTTTTTTTTTTCTTCTTTCTCTTAATTGTTTAGCCTTGAAGATCATCAACACCTTACCAACGGGGTTGCCAAAACTGTTCGCCCCGAAATTACAGCATTATATTTGGTGACCTGTGCTTAGTTGTTTTCAATTCTGCCTCCCGCTGAAATAAATGGAAAAAGAAGAGTACTTATTGCAAACAACGCCAAATAGCTTTGATTGCCTTTCAATGCCTCGGTAAGCGGCCGGTAAGCGGCCTTCAGCGTCGCGAGTTTTTAAAAATTCGTGAACGCTGTGATTTTTCCACGGTAATTACAACGTTAACTTTGTCTAAGCGGTTTTTTGATCTGTTCGTGCGACATGGAGAAAAATCATCATAATAAAAGGGGTCCTCCTTTATGACTAAAAACGCACGGAAAACATGCTAGAAGAAATTTTAAAAAAGTCAAGACGAACGATGGGCTGAACGCGTGATTTGTGGACTTGGCCGCTTGACTACAAGTTTTTCGCCTATTGAGGCGACCGTAGACCTTTTCTAATCGCTGTTTTAAAAGCTCGCTTGGTGAAAACTGTACTTCTGTCAAGGCCGCCTGTAGTGTTTGTACTTAATTACTGGCCAAACAAAGAGTCGAAACACAGGTTTTAAGTTTTCGAAAACTATTACAATTATTCAATTGCATTGAACGCCGAGACAAAGAGAGCGTCAAAGCTAAAAGTTTTGATTCATTAGGGCCGACGTGAAATTGAGCCTAGAAAGAACCGAAGCCAAATAAGTCATTATAAGAAAATAATGGGTTGATGAGCGAGTGGCTGGCATAAATATAACCCCGTATTATTTATTAATGCAAATGTTTAAACTAAAATGAAAACTTTCATTACGAAGGGATGTTTCTGGAATAATGAATGCCGTTAAGTCGCATTTTATCGAGGAAGACAGCAGATTCTAAAGTGGATTTACACTCGTCATTCGCCAATCCAAACAAGATCTTTGAATATTCGGCAAGTGTATCGATTTCAAGTGCGTTTCGAATTAAACGTGCTAAATTTCTCAGGTACTTTACCTTGGCTATTAAAACACAAAACTGCGAATTTCAAATCGATAAAAATTACCGATAGGGGGTCAACGTCGAAACATATTAATTTCTAAAAACCGGTCCATTTCTGTTTTTCAAAGCTGGGGGAAACGTTAATAAAAATAAAGGGCGCACTAACGACAGATCAAAACAAACGACATTTTCTGTTGACCAATTTCGACTTTCCGGCGCATCAACGTCAAATGTAACTTTTCATTTTGTTATTAGCTTTCAGCTGACACAAAGTTATCACGTTTTCATTAGGAAGGGATTACAATCAAAATTACTTGCTATGTGTCGGGTATGCAAATATTGAAGATAAAATCCCCATTTTTGTCTGTCGATAACATCAGTGCCAGAAGCAAATTGTCCCGTGACGCTGTCGATCGTATAATGTTGATTGAAAAGAGAGCACTGTTTTGCGCCTGCAAAACTAAACAGTTTCCCTCTTTTCTTTTCGTATTTGGTTGAGATAGAAGTATCCGCACTTTTTGTAATTCCTCCCCATGCTACAAAAGAACTCTGGGATATCCTGAGCCCACGATAGTCAGCGGCTATTCACCATTTCATCATGCTTATAATTAGTTCAAAATGGCGGACGAAAAGGCCGCAACATAAGCTTTAGCAGTACATACTTCTCGGTCGATCTCTCGCAGTTTAAGCATTATGAGTTGGATATTTGGGTCATCGAAGACGCCAAAATCTCAGCTACCGCCTGCAACAGCTCTTCAACAACAAAGACTAAAGCAAATTGAATCACTGCGTACCTTTCACAAGTAAGTCAATTTGTTCCTTCCTTCACGGTTTTTCATTGACTCCAGCGGAACATCTTTCATCTGCTACCACGTCACAGCCAGTTTTCTTTTTAGCTTCAGTGGTTCTTTTTAGAACCCGAATTACTCCCAAAATGACTTCAAGTAAACAAGTTATCGTAAGGTTAGAGTCTAGCTAGGCAAAACTACTAGACCGGCAAGTGGGAAATTTAGGCTTAAAGGTCGACACAAACTAGGGAACATGTTGCAGTTACGTGAAGCGGGAACACGACCCTTCGCGTGTACGCATAGGACGCATGTTGCAGGGACAGTAAGCAAGCTGGTGCACACAAAGCAAATATTGGTTCATTTCTATGTTGTAGCGGGGACAGTTTGCAAGAGCAGTGCAAACGATGTGGCATTGAAAATTGAGATCATTTTGTCCCTGCTTCATGATGCACGAATTCAAACCAGCTGATTTCATGCCACGTGTTGCAGGGACAAAATTTTGCCTGGGAAATTTTGTCACCACACCATAACTTTTTAGCTTGAAACAGGCATGTCACGCAAGGAAAACTGTCGCTGCAACATGTCCCCGTACACGCCCACGAGGCAGATATTGATTCATTTCTATGTTGTAGTGGATCAATACGACAGTCTGCAAGAGCAATGCACACAATGTATCGCTGACAAGTGAGGTCATTTTGTCCCTGCTTCAGAATGCAGGAATTCAAACCAGCTGAATTTCATGCAACATGTTGCGGGGACAAAATTTTGCCTGGGAAATTTTGTCCCCACAACATAATATTTTCGTTTGAAACAGGCATGTCGCACAAGGAAAACTGTCGCTGTGCACAACATGTCCCCGCTGAATTAATGTATTGACAAGAAACACATAACAAGAAACAAGATGTGTGACCAATCAGCAACATCAGTCACTTGACTGTCAGTCAATGATCTTGCTAGCTTGGATCCAGTTAGGAAATCTTAGCTTAAACTTGCATCAATGCAAGAGTTTCACTTTCTAGTTTTTAAGCCAAAAACATCTTTTCAATTTAGAACGAATGTTCCCACCTCGTTTCACTTCCCCACTGGATATACCTTCTTGTGAACTTCTTTCTAGGTCCTCTTACCAGAGTGAATGTTCAGCCAATTGTAACTTTACCTTTTTAAAGCAAAGAAAAACTGAGGTTCAGATGATAATCATTTGCATGTACCTGTGCTATTCAGTATAAAAAGAAATTCAGACATGAACTTTCAAGCAGAAAGAAAGAAGTCTTTGTTTCAATATGACTTTTGATAACAAGTTAGAAAGTCATGTAAAAATATCAGTTTTCACTTTCAACATGTCATATGTTTTCTTTTACACTGTAGCAATGTGTAGTTCCAGAGAATATCCATAACTCCCCCAAAGAAGGGATTTTTTCAAAGACCCCCCCCCCCCCCCCCC